GGGAGCTGGAGAGATGGCTCAGAGGTTAAGAGCACCGACTGCTCTTCCAGAGGTCCTGAGTTCAATTCCCAGCAACCACACGGTGGCTCACAACCATCTGTAATGAGATCTGGTGCCCTCTTCTGGTGTGCAGATAGACATGGAAGCAGAATGTTGTATACATAATAAATAAATAAAATCTTAAAAAAAATAAAAATAAAAATAATTAAATTAGTTTAAGCCAGGTGGCACACGCCTTTAATCCCAGCACTCGGGAGACAGAGGCAGGCAGACCTCTATGAGTTCGAGACCAGCCTGGTCTACAGAGTGTCAGGACAGGCTCCAAAGCTACACAGAGAAATGCTGTCTTAAAAAACAAACAAAACAAAACAAAACAAAAGGGGCTGGAGAGATGGCTTAGGGGTTAAGAGCACTGACTGTTCTTCCAGAGGTCCTGAGTTCAATTCCCAGCAACCACATGGTGGCTCACAACCATCGGTAATGGGATCTGGTGCCCTCTAGTGGCATGCACTGTATACATGATAAATAAATCTTAAAAAACATCACAACAAACCAAAAACAAACAAAAATTAGTTTATGGCCAGTGAGATGTCTTAGAGGATAAAGGCACTTGTTCCAAAGCATATTGTAGTGATATATTATTTGTGATTGATTAAAGTTTGCTTAAGGGTTTAGATAGCAAGGCTAGCCACTAGTCATAGAGCCAGGCAATGGTGATATACACTCTAAATCCCAGCAGCCATACTAGCAAGCCATAGAGCCAGGCAGTGGTGGCACACACCTGTAATCCCGGGACTCGGGGGACAGGCAGATGGATCTCTCTGAGTTTAAGGCTACCCTGGCCGAGACAAGAGTGAAGAGTAACAGAGCTCATGCTTTTGATTCCAGCTCTAGGGAGGTGGACACAGGAGTGAAATGGTTGGGTAGAGAAAGGAATATAAGGCAGGAGGAGACAGGAACTCAGAGCTTTTGCCTCTGAGAATTCGTGGAGACAGGATCAGCCATTTTGGTCTGAGGTAGACGTAAGAGATAGTGGCTGACTGCTTTGCTTTTCTGATCTTCAGCTTGAAGTCTGAACCCCAATATCTGTCTCTGAGTTTTTCTTTTTCCCTCGTGTTCCAGCCTAGGACCTGAGTTTGATCCCAGGGAACACATACTCCTGAAGTTGAGCTCTGACCCCCACATGCATGCTGTAGCATATGCACACTGGTGCGTACACACGTGTACACACAACGCTGAGTGATATCACAAATTATTTTTTGAAAGTTTTTAAGTCTCTGACTCTACAGTGAGGGTCACTAGAGAATTTCAGTGACTTGTGGTAAACCTTGGTCTTCTAAGCTGGACGTGGTAGTACATGCCTGTCTGTAAACGTAGCCCTGGGGCGTGGAGGCAGGAGGTTAGGACTTCAAGGTCAGTGTCTCTGACACACAACAGCATGTTCCAGGTTGGCCAGGGCACATGATAAGGTGCTGTTTCAAAAAGTAGGTAAGCCATTGAGAGAAAAAGAGAAAAGAGGGCTGGAGAGATGGCTCGGAGGTGAAGAGCACTGGCTGCTCTTCCAGAGGTCCTGAGTTCAATTCCCAGCAACCACATGGTGGCTCACAACCATCTATAAAGTCAGTTGCAGGGGCTCTGATGCCCTCTTCTGGCCTCTACCGGAACTGCATGTGCAGGGTGCACAGACATAAGCATAACAACCATAGAGTAAAAATAAATATAAATTAAAAAAGAGAAAATTGCTGGGCAGTGGTGGTGCACACCTTTAATCCCAGCACTCGGGAGGCAGAGGCAGGTGGATCTCTGTGAGTTCAAGGTCAGCCTGGTCTATAGAGAGAGTTCCAGGACAGCCAAGGCTACACAAAGAAACCCTGTTTCAAAGAAAAAAAAAATCCAAAAGTAAGTAATTTACAAATTTAAAACTGTGTGCCATTCTGAACAGTACGGTAAAATCCAACCCCATCCCGTCTGGAACACGAATCATTACGTGTCCAGTAGATGCACGGTGTACATGGTGTAATACGCTTCCCTTCCAAGAGTTTGTAGCCATTTCAGCAGGTTGACTGCTGCAATATTACAATGGCAGTGTTCAAATCACCTTGGTTTTATTTAACAATGGTCCCAAAGCAAGAGCAGAATTGCTGGCATCTCAGATACACAAAGCATAAAATGCTTTTTCCTCTTTTCCTAAAATGATTTTTTGTCTTTATCAATTAGAATATATTAACCATACACAATGGGTTTCACTATGGCATTTTCACACACACACACACACACACACACACACACACACAGAGAGAG